CTTCTGTTCAACTATTTTCTCATATAATTATATATAAAAGCAAATTACTGGCAACAAAAATTGTTTGCTCATTCACATTTATATAGAAAGTTAACTGACTTAATTTAAATTGTGAGTTCAGAAAATGGTATTTGATACTAATGTCATATGGCTTTCAGTTAATTTGGTAATTTTTAATGAAATAACCTCAACATTTTATTGATCAGTAAAAACACTAAATGAATGTACAAAGCTCTGAACACTAGCTACTTGTGTTTCAGCATTATTTTATATTTACTGGCTATATTAACACTCACTAAAATATTTGATTTGAGATCAAGTTAGTAGAATCTTTTTATTTGTTTCTTTTGAAATATGAACCAGTCCAAAACTAAATTGATGATAGACCATGGAACTGCATGTGTAGGTAGATTATTGAACTACACTTATAGGTAGACTGAAACTACTAGTGTGGGTAGACCATGGAACTACTAGTATTGGTAGACCATGGAACTGCACATGTAGGTAGATTTTTGAACTACACTTATAGGTAGACTGAAACTACTAGTGTGGGTAGACCATGGAACTGCACATGTAGGTAGATTTTTGAACTACACTTATAGGTAGACTGAAACTACTAGTGTTGGTAGACCATGGAACTGCACGTGTAGGTAGATTATTGAACTACACTTATAGGTAGACTGAAACTACTAGTGTTGGTAGACCATGGAACTACTAGTGTAGGTAGATTATTGAACTACACTTATAGGTAGACCATGGAACTATTAGTATTGGTTGACCATGGAACTGCACATGTAGGTAGATTATTGAACTACACTTATAGGTAGATTGAAACTACTAGTGTTGGTAGACCATGGAACTGCACGTGTAGGTAGATTATTGAACTACACTTATTGGTAGACTGAAACTACTAGTGTTGGTAGACCATGGAACTGCACGTGTAGGTAGATTATTGAACTACACTTATTGGTAGACTGAAACTACTAGTGTTGGTAGACCATGGAACTGCACGTGTAGGTAGATTATTGAACTACACTTATAGGTAGACTGAAACTACTAGTGTTGGTAGACCATGGAACAATGAAAACAGATAATTGTGGAACTACTTTTGTTGGTAGACAGTAATACAATAACGAACGATCTTGGAACTACTCCAGTAGGTAGACCATGGAACAATGAAAACAGATAATTGTGGAACTACGTTTGTTGGTAGACTGTAATACAAGAACAGACGATCTTGGAGCTACTCCAGTAGGTAGATCATGGAACGATGAAAACATATGATTGTGGAACTACTTCTGTTAGTAGACTATACTACAAGAACGAACGATCTTGGAACTACTCCAGTAGGTAGACCATGGAACAATGAAAGCAGATAATTGTGGAGCTACTTTTGTTGATAGATCTTAGAACGATGATGTTGGAATTACTTCAGTAGGTAGACCATATAACAATGAAAACAGATTATCATGGAACTACGTGGACCATAGAACCACAAGAACAGATGACTGTGGATTTACTCTTGATGGTAATTCATTGAAACACACCAATAATGGTAGAGCATGGAATCACACCTATTAGTGAACCACAGAACAGTCACAAAATGTAAAACAATAAAAAAATTTTTGTTTGAAATGTTAAGTAAAATCACAACATTAACACAGATACAACAGTGGTGGCTTTAACATACTTTAGGGTGGCATTTCAAGTTTCATGCATGAATCAAAGGTTTCCATACTAAAGATTCTTATTTTTTATGTATAAGAAAAAAAATCGGAAGCATAGAACATTATAGATATTAATTATTAGCAAGGATTCGCAAACTTATTTATGTACAAGAATATTAAAAATTATGATTTTGAAATGAAGTATGGATCATGCTATAAAAGGTAATGAAACAAGAATTAAAACCACAATCACAGATTTATAAAATGTAATCCTTACTTTAGCCTACAGATAAGTGTATAAAGCTGCCAAAGTAGGGATTACGTTTATAAATTTGTGGTTGTGGTTTTAATTCTTGTTTCATTACCTTTTATAGCATGATCCATACTTCATTTCAAAATCATAATTTTTAATATTCTTG